GCTGAGTATCTTTTTCCTTATTTGTAGAAATATTTGCTTATTGTATTTTGATTTTTTCTTGTTGGTTTAAACCCTTAAACGTGTTTCTCAAGTGGCATACTCGTCTTTGATGGTTATCAGAGGACTGCACTTGAGTAACCGTTTTTTTATTGCGTTTTTATTTTTGCTAACAATCAATAAAACAGTTTTTCGAAGATTTTCCTACTTTTTTTATTTAATTATATTGATGGCTTTCTTTTTTTACTGAAATTCTTTAACTCTTCGAACTTTCGTTGAACATTAAAGAAGGAAGCGAAAAATTATTGGTAACAGCTAACCTTTTTTAACTCTTCTCGTCGCTGGTTCGATAGTGAGTATCTATAAAACAGTCGGCCAAACTTTTTTTCTTATTAACATATTCTTTCTTTTATGCCTTTTAACTTTGTTCTTCTTTCGAATAATGTTGGCAAAGAAGTAGGATGAATGGCTGGTAAAAAAAAAATGAAAGCATAAGCGAACAAATCGAATAAAAGAGGGTAGTTTGATCAGCTTTATCATATCCGAAGTATTGTACTCAGAAATTTGTGAGAATTTTGATTTAGGTGCAAATTCAGTTTGGTCAAATTTAATGTCATTTTTAGTAATGAAATAACTATTTGTTGTGATTGAATCATGGCGTCTGTAACAAGAGACGGTTTATTCAGGCCTAATTCAGCTGATTTTTTGAACGGTACTTCAAATTGTTTTATTTATAGTGTAATAAGTATCAATACTGAAAGGAAGGATGGAATAATTAAACTTAGATACCGTTTTTTCGCTGTTTATTTGTCAAATTTTTTTACTTATATACTACAATTAAATGAAAAAAGAAAATTTCAATTATTTATCTGTTTCTGATATTAATTATATCTGTTTTTGTTAGTTTTTGCTGTAAGTGAACGGATTTACGGAATAAGCGCCTTTTCCTATATTGAACCGTTTTGATTACTGCTGTTTTCTGTTGACTTATTTTTTTTTTTTGTCATTTTTGGATTTTTTGTTTTTATTTAAAACTGCATTCATCTTGAGCAATCAGTGCATAATAGTAGTTATGAATCTAAATTTTAAACTTTTTGGTATTGATGTTTGACCTCAGAAGAAAATTTGTGCTTGCTTATTTTCCTATGGAAATTGTGTAAGTGATGACAAATGTGGAAAAAAGAATTTTTTAAACAGGATAAATGCATCAAGTATTCAACGGGTTTCCAGGAGCAAGATATGAGAAAGTATAGGTAGGTATTTGAGAAGACAAAGCAGAATACCTGGGACATGTTGTTTATCTTAAAACTTCACAAATTTATCGTCAACGAGTCACTATCTTGTCGTTGTGTTTGTTCCTCGACGTCCTCCAAGCGATCCTATCTATCGAAAAAAAAGGAACAAAATCAAGCATTCTGGCAAAAAAATTTTTAACAAGGTTTTTTTCTTTTTTTAAACTATTTGAGTCAAAACGACAAGTCATTACGACCATATCTTATGGGTCCTGTTGTTGTCGTTCTTCTATGATGCTCTCAAATCACTCAAGCCTCTTTCCTTCTTTTCTCATCGAGGAACAAGGAAAAAAGTTAAGAATTAGGGTTTGGACTTCTTGTTCTTTTTGATCTAAATAACATATCCTGCAGCCGTTTGTAATCTCCTAGTTGATAATGTGTGGAAAGTATTTTATTAGCCAAATTAATGTCATCTTTCTTCGAATTTTTGCAGAAAAGTGTTTGAGAGAGAAAAAATTTATTGCATATGGGAAAACTTCAGTCAAAAAGTGTGCATAATTAGTACTTTTTTCTCGCCTTTACGCTTCTTTACTTTGCACAAGAAATTAAATTGGTTAGCCGCTGATGTTCTTAGTAATTTTTGGTTTTTCAAAGAGAGTAGATGGAAGATGTTCTAGAACTTTTTGTTTGCTGGGCCCAGTTGTGGAATGATCCTCCTGTAAGAGAAGTGCTTTTTCTGTGGTATGAAGGAATTGGGAGTGAGCCAGTGGAAGAGGATGACGAGGGCAGGACCAGAGGTTTTGGTAACGACAGTGCCTTTGTAATTGTGTTAGAGCAAATTGTTGGTTGTGTAAACCGTAAAGACGGGCAAATTTTTTAGGGTTTTCGTTGAAGACAAAACACACACACACAGTCTTTAAGGTTAATATCATTCTGTAATGTGATGAAAGTGGCTTTGTTTGTCCCTATAACATTTTTGGTGCGTTAGTGGAGTGTTAGTATTACACTTCAACGCAACGGGACACGTACAGAAATTTTGTTTTTACCGTCTTTGGACGCAAAAATCAGTTGGTATATGAAAAGGAGAAATTCTTCTTGGAATGGCCCAGTGCAAACATGGCTATTGCCCGTAAAAGTGGGTATTTAAGAGAGGGAGGGAGAGAGGAGGAGAGAGAGAAAGAGGGGAGAGTAACAAAAGTGGAGAAGGGAGAGAAGACCTTGATTAATTAGGAACATTTTTTTGCTGTCGTATTTCTGATTTGTAATTGAATGGACTTTATCTGTACGTTGTTTGCATCTATAGAATCATGATTAATAAAAGTAATAGTAATGGTGCTAGTTCATAGTAGTAATAATAACAGTAATAATAATAGTAGTATTGATAATACTGATTATTATTATTATAAGATTAACATCAATAATTACATATTAATTATGAAATACATTTTTATATGTCAGTGAATGGAGTCACCGTTTTTCACTGTGCAATTTAACCTCAGCGTATTGAAATATGCGCTAAAAATTTGCTGCTAAAGTAATTTTCAATAATCGATATGGGATGATTTTTGTTTTGCATTTGTCACCATAATTGTCGTTAGAGCGTCTATTATTGTCATTGTCGGTCATTGTCGTCACCACCATCATACCCATCATTAGAACGAGTAAAATTGCAGTTTTGATGGAATATCGGTTAAAGATGCATAAAAAATTTTACCAACACTAGAAATTAAAATAAGCATCAAGCATTGGTCACTGAGCGGAATTACTGAAGGGAAAAGGCACAAAATAGGCCTTGTCTTGAAGTTTTTAAAAGTTTTCTGGAAGTAAAAAAACTCATAGAATTTTATTTTGTTGCTCGCAAACAACTATAATAGCATAGAAAAGGAACATTTGTTTTCTTTTTGAAAAATTTTTGATGCTTTCATGGACGGGGCAAATGGACTGCAAAAAAAAAGAGGACAAGAAAGGGAATGGAGAGGGAAGGGATGATTTGTTTTGACTACTTTCTGTATTTTTGATGGTATAAGTCGTCGATCGGCAATAACCTTGGCGAGTAAATTTTTTTGTTGTTGGCTTTCTCTCTCTCTGTCCCTCTCTTCCTCTCTTTCTCTGTCTCCCTCCTTTTTCCCTCTTCGTATCATCCCACAAAAAAAAAATTTTTCTTTCGCCATATGTAATTCATAATTTTTGCGTATTCGATTTGAAAGATGAAGAATTTAGAAAGAAAAAAAAAAATTTATTTTTGCGGAAAAAAGTTAAAAATAATTTTTTGATAGCAAAATTTATTTCTCTAAAATTTATTGCCATTTCTTTTTGTATGTACTTATTTTTATCTTTATTTATTTATTTATTTTTTTCTGCATCACTATTACACCAATGAATTTTGATCATTTATTTATTTATTTTTTTGTTTATTTTTATTAAATAATAATAAAAATGTAAAATGGAGACTCATTCAGAATGTAATTAGGCAGTTAAAATTATCTTAAAAAGAAAGAAGGCATGCTTTTTTTTGATTTTGTTCTGTTTCGGGGAGTTATTGCATTGAAACTGTCGCTGATATTGGTGTGGGAGACGGGGACTGTTCAACGGCAATTATATCAATGATCAGTATCGGCAACATTACTCATCATGAACTTGAAATTACAGAAGCTAAATCTTTTTTCTATGTTGCTATTTATGGCGTTTACGCTATTTTCGGTATCAGTTCTACCTTCTGAAAATAAGAAAATGTATCTGTTCCTTTTTTTTTACAGGACCTGAGAATAAGGCCTTAATGCTGAACAGTTTGCCGATTGTCTGCTGGAAAATCTTCTATAGTTATCTTCAACAACAGTACCTAAAAAACCAATTGTTTGACTTTTTTTGCGGGGAGATCAATATGATCTTGTTCCTTGAAAGTATCAGGTTTCAAAAGGTTCATCTTTAAGTTGAGATTATCTAATAGTCGTTGTTGAACTTTTCAGAAGCTGAAAATTAGTTACTTATTTGTATTTATTCATCTACTGTTTTTGAGTTCATTTTTTGAAGACATTTTTTTTTTTATTTTATTAGCAGCATTGTAACAGATAGGACTTGAATACCTGTTGGAAGGATGTCAAGAGTATATTTTCAGAGTTTTTTGTCGTTGCTATTTGTAAATTATAAACACGGCTATGAATATTGACAAAAAGTCACCACTGCAATTGCAGTGGTGACGGTCAATGTATAACGAGTTCTAGGGTTTCTTTTTTTTTTTTCTCGTTAACATAGCTGTTACGTAAAAATTGCGCTTGTTTGGATGGACGAGTAGAAAAATGAACAAATTCTGAGAAAAATTTAAATCGAATATGTCTTTTAAAAAACATTTTAGAAGGTGAAAAAAGTGTTTTTCTTTTTCAAAACCATTTTTGCACTTTCAGAAATTTTTTTTGCTTACTGCTGGTGCTGTTGCTGCATCTGTTACCGTCGTTTTGTTATCGTTTGCGGAAACTCAGCCAATTTTTTGGGTAGAAATTTGGGTATAAGCTTTAAAAAGCTGTTGTCGAACTTGTTTCTAAGTTTGTCTGTCAGGCAGCAACAATAACACCGACAAGCCCAAATACCGGTTTCCTGATTTATTCGTCTCTGTGGAATGTCTACCATTTTCTCTCCATTTTCTACAATTTCATTTTTTTAATAGCGAATTATCACTTGAAATATATTTTTTATATTTGTTTTGGTTCTTTCTTCTTATGCCTTTCTTTAATCATTTTTTAATGGACAATATGAAGCAGAAGTAGACGGAAAGAAAAAAGAGTGAGGGATTTATGTTAATTTTACGCATTTCAATTCTTAGTGAAATATTCCACATTTTTTCATTTTATTACAGGTTTTTTTTTTTGCAGATAGTGCTTTTGAGAAAAAAAAAATAAGAAGAATTAAGAATTTTTACAGTATTTTCTTTCAAAAATGTTGCTGTTGCTGGTTTTTCTATTTATCTCAGGCGAACTAAGAAAAGTGTATTTTAAAATGGTGTACCAATTTTGATGAATCTGCTAATTGAGTGGGTTACTTAGAGCGAAATTGGCTAAAAGCAAAGAATTATTTTTTAGACATTGGTAGTTTCTCAAAGTTTGGTTCACCTTGTATCTGGAATCGCGATTATCATCCGTCAGATGAAGTTTTCGAAAAATTTAACAGTCATCAAACCTATCGTTACTATGCAATGTGGGGTGCAGCAATCCTGTATTTACTTGGCCTTGCAACATTCCTGGTTTGCTCTATTTTCGGGATGATTGGATGTTGGCGACGGAGTACTAAGATCGTTCTGACTACAGCACTGTTGATGCTTTTTTCAGGTAGAAAGAATCTGTTGATGCTGATTTGCATCTAGTCTTAGACAGATATTTATTGGTTCCTGTAATAAACTTTGTCCTAAACAAATGTTTTTACTAAGGAAATAAATTTTGATTTTTGTTTCTGATTGCAGTAATGTTTTTGGCTGGCTCAATGGCTTGCTGGCACTTGGTTAACTACTTGGAGAGGCATGTCTTAGATGTTCCGTCATTCTACAAATCATGGGAACCGGTAGGAAAATTGAAAACAGCAATAAAGAAAATTCGATTTTTACAAATTTTTTATTTATTAAAAGATAATTGAATGAACAATAGTTGAAAATGAGGAAGTAAGAAAAATTCTGAATTTTTTTACGAAGAAGTCAACTTCTTTTTTACGTATACGTTTACTCAGAAAAAAATTTTGTCTTTTGAACTCGCCATTTTATTATCCAATTATAGAACTAACCAATCTTTTGATAGTTGCGACATAGTAGTTACCTGTTTTTACGACCTTAAATTATTCTCCATTGTTGGAGGTTTACTAACGGCTTTCTAAAGACTATTCTCTGTCATTCCAGATCCTGAAACAGGCAACGAAATTTAGCTATGGTTGGTCTTACATCGTTTCGTGGGCTGGAATTGGTTTTATTTTGTTGGCCTCTACATTTATGTTGTTGTCTTACAAGAAGATCAAGGTAAGCAGTAGCTCAATTTTCTCATACTTCTTCATCTTTTCTTTTTTATTATTTTTAGTCAAGGATACTCTCTTGAATAATCCTTCTGAGTAACCCAAAAATTTCATACTTTAGGTTGGGGAAGAAGTATAATAGAACATTGGTATGCTTAATTTAATTGCGTGATTGTCGTGCATTATTACTGTCATAATTTAATTTCTCTTTTTTATTTGAATCTTTTTTACCGCTTTTAGTTTTCTTAAGGGTTTCTCGTTTATTTTTACTGCCTAGTTCTTGGCATCTTCTTCTTTCAAAGCTACAGTAGGAAGTATAATAGAACTTTACTTTCATCTTTATTTTTTTAATGTAAAGTACTACATTCTAAAAATGCTTATTTTTACCTAGATGAAAAGTTATAAAGAGAGGTTTTAGGCTGGGGCTTTATTACTATTATTATTTTTTGAATGGTTCTGTGGAATAACTGTTTTGTATTTTTTCAGGAAGAAGAAGAACGAGCTGTTGAGGTGAAACACGCACCGTACATGGTGTCTAATTACTACGATAAGACGTCAGCAATGGTTCCATACGCTTATGGCACCTATGGATATGGAGCTGGAGCTTATCCACCATACTATGGCCAGTATATGAACACGTTGAGCAATGGATACTACGGATACATGACCTATGCTCGCTAAAACCCTTGGCAAGGCGTCTGGCTTTTCTTCAGACTGCAGCATACTTATACTACTACAACGGCTACTGCAATCCTCTGTTGACCTCAGAAAAATGTTGAAAGTTTTTTTCACTATACAAAAAGTGGGAAGTTGTTTGGTTGGTTTTTACTTTAGTAAGTAAAATTATTAAGAAAAGGAAGAGTTAAAAGACCTCTGTTTTTCAATTTTCTTTTGAGTATATTACGGAAAAGTAAGCCCGAGTTTAGGTGCGAGTTTAGTTCCATATTTACGGGAGAAGCAGTTGCTTAAACTAAATTTAGTTGGTGTACTATTTTTACTAGTATTTTTCACAACTTTTCAAAGTTCTTATTGAAGTCTTTGTGCTGTTGTGTATTTCTACACTTTTCTTCTTAATTTTCTTTCTTAGTATTATAAGGAAGCGCTCTGTTGTGTTTGTTTGTTCATTGCTGTTAATCGGCTATAACTCTGTAGGATTCTATAGCTGATCGATGTTGTTGTTCTCCGCTGTTCTTGTCATTTTTTTGCACTTGAAGACCCGTAAACTATACACTCTGTGGGAAGGGGAATGAAGAAACGGACAGGTGATAAGACAAAAGAAGTTGTAAAACTTTAGGGGTTGTCATTATCGTTGATGGTCTTGGGATTTGTGACTATTTCAGTGATACAAAGGGGCGATACCACAACTGTTATTTGAAAATTCTCTTTACTTTTTTTTTTTTGCACTTTACAAAAGCGATCAGGATTTAAGTGCCCAGCGAAGGAATGGTAGGTGATGGTGATGATAATGGAAAATTTTCATATATGTTTTTCAGTTTTTTAAGATTTTTCTTTTGTTCTTACTGTTAATAAAACCTTGGAAAAAGATGGTTGAATTTTTTTTTTTTTTGAGCAATTTTTTTTTTGCGATTTTAAGTTTTTATTTAGTGAAAAAATTAGGTCTTTGGATACGGGTTTATTTTTTTGCATTCATTTATCTTTCAAATACTACTGTTACTGTTATTGCTGCTATATATTTATGGTTCTATTAGTTTGTTGATAAGATTTCTTTTGTTTTTAACGGTTTTTTTCAGTTTTTAAACATTAACAAAGTCAACAATATTATTTTACATTTTTAACGTTACTACAACACAAAAAAAAAAAATCCTCTCTTCTTCAACAGTCATAATTTACTGTATTTGAAATCATTGTTTTTCTTTTTTTGTTTCAATTTTTAATTGTTGTACTTCTGAATCGCACGAAACAAACAAATGTTCCAGAAATCTCTTACTACATCTCTTGCCAACCTATATTTTCCTTCTTGTTTTTGTCTTCTTCAGTTACTCTTTACCATTAATATATAAATGATTGTATCTTATAACATCACCATCTGCATTTAAAAATGTATGTCATCATCAATCAAGCAGTCCTGTATTTGGATGTTCTGTTTATTTTGTTCAACTGAATCTGTGGTCAAAGCGTTTAAATGAGTGTTTTTGCGTGTATGTGTGTGTGTTTGTTAATTAAACAATCTGATATTTGGTAGCAGCCAATATATAGTGCTTCTTCATCAGTTTCTGAACATTTCGTTTATAGAGTTGATGAAAAAAGAAAAATAGAAAAATTTGGAGCGACGACTAAAGCAGAGTATTCGAGGAAACTGAAAAACATTATTATATCGGTATGATTGACCAAATTATTGTGTAAAAAAGAAAAAACTTTTTGATATTTGTATGTGTTTTGTGTTTCTTTCATCTGTATCAAAAATAATTTAAAATGTCATTGATAAGTTCAGTTTTGTCAAATTCCAATGCATCAATGAATGGTTCTATTATTATTGCCTTCTTTTCTCCTTTTTTTATTTATTTTTGCTTTTCTGTATTTTCCCTCTTTACGAATTTTCTGTTACTGTTTTTTTCTTTCTGTAATTTCATATTTCTCATACGCCAATTTGTTTTCAATTGATTTATGTGTACGTTTTTCATCTTTTTTTTGAATGTATAGTTTGGTCTTCAAAAGAAAAAAAAATTTCTTGTTTATTTTTTTCTTCATCAGTACTTTAGATTACGCTAATCAGTAGTGACTGCTGATGGTAACGTATCACTGAATAAACTTTAAACTGTATTTATTATTCCTTTACATTGACCTGTCTGTGTTTTGAATTGTTTTTCCCGTTATCGTCATTTTTTTTCAATTTTTGTTTTTATTTTGTACAGATTCTGAGTCGCTGTTTTTTAACCGACAATTCATTGAGAGTTCAGCAGTGAGGCGTGAAAAAGTTCCGCTGCCAACTTCCTGTTTACCAAAAGAAAAAAGAAAGAATAGGAAAAAAAGCAGTTGTTGATTGTAGAGTGCACTTCGTAATCAAAAATCTTTGAGGTACTCATTGTTGGTAAGCTTACGGAATTGTTAGCTCAAATATAAATATTTATTTCAATAAATTTTATTTGCGGTTATTTATTTCTTATTGTTGTTGTTAGCAAAAGGGTAGTTTTGAAATTATTGGTGTTTTGAAGCGGACGAAGCTGAGCAGCAATGTAAATTCCACAGAACTATTGAATTTTTTTTGTTCAAATATTACTGAGGTGATAGTTTCTCTTAATTGATCACCAGAATTTAGCTTGAAATTTTTTGTTCTATTATTTTTGTTTAGTTGTTGGTAAATTATTAGAAAAACTCTTTATCCTTTACGAGTAATTTCGAAGTACGACTTTTACACTACTTTTACTATAAAATTTGTTTGTTGGCTTTTTCGGTAAGTTTAGCGGGTTTTGTGTGTTTTTTAATGAAAGCGGTCATTTAATTCACCAAATAATTGAACATATAGGTGGTAACAGTAAATAGTAAGTGAGAGGTCCTAGTTTCGGAGTCAAGAAGCCGACATAAACTTTGAAATGAATTTGAAAGTAATAAGTAACGAATTACCTACAAAAAAACTTGTAATTTTTCTCAGTGTTTTGAGTACTTGAAAGAGAAAGCAAAAGGTGGTTGTAGTTTAGAGAGTTTCTTTGCTGCATGTTCAGTGTAATGTTAATTGCAGACGAGCAAGCTGTATGAGAAGACCGGCTGGATAACATTTCGATTCGCGTGTATTGACTGAACACCCTTAAAACGCTTTTTTAGTTGGCTTTGGCTAAAATCAGTTGAATTTTTACAGTTGAACTTACAAATTCAGCTTTTTGTGGGAGATATGAAGAGATGCAGCCGGCGTGAAGACGAGTTAATAAGAGCTGTGAAGCTGCACCTTCAAATGTACTTTAAGGACTGTCTATTGTGTGGAGTGACTGTGTTATCACTTACCGTTTGAAAAACTGAAGCAGTGTGGATAAAAAATTGTTTATGTATATCAACAATTTCACGGTCAGAGAAGTGTTTTTTGCTATTTATCTGATTAGTTTTGGAACAGCGGTCCTGAGGCAGTTTAAAGTGGAACGTGCTTTGTTTTTGTCAGGGTGGATGTCCTTGCTTAGTGCTCAACCTGCTAATGCGATGTCGCAGTAATTGTTGTTTGCAATTGTTAATTTTTTGGGATATCGCTGAGTCCACCTGATTACAAAAGATACTGAAATAAAATGAGATTAGCTCTGTTGCAAAATAAAAGACAAAGTAGTCGTTTAATAATTGCAGCCTGCATCCTGCTGTGACGTTTGCTAAATATCATACAATTTTTATATAGGCTGTATTTTAAAATTTTTACCGAAACGTAAACAAAAGCAAGTAAGTGTTAAAAAAGTTTTTTTCAAACTAGCGTTCTGGAGAATAAATCACTGGACTATTTTTTACTCAGTTCCGTTTAAAACAAGAGAAGAAGAATACGAATTTGCAATATATTTTAAGTGCGCCATCCAAATTCTTGGAAGATAGTGCACCAAACAAGAAAGGTTTTTAAAGTGTTCCGTTCTTATAGAATTTTTTGCACTTGCGAAAGTTTTTTTTGCATATGGTAAAAACGTTTTCGTTACTTAGCAATTAATCTATGATTTGATGTTCGGGTTACTTAGGAAGCTATGACTTCTTAAGTGCATCACAAATTTTGATACTTCATAAAAGAGGAAATAGCGACCAAACAGAGTGGAACCAATTTTGTTATCTACCCCCTCAAAGATAGCTCTTCGACGATCTGACTGAGTGCTCGGTCGATTTTGTCTGTTATATGTCCGCCAGAACAACGTGACAAAGTTACGCCGACCTCAAGTTTTGATATACTCTTTCGGTCAGTGCGTGAAAAATTTGCTATCAAAACCACTCGTTCATAATTCGCACTAATTAAGCAACTGAAGAACGTGATTGAAAAACCAATTAAAAAGACTTGGTTAGCACCGTGCAAAGTGGGTTTTAATTTGGAACTACAAAAATGAGCAGAAAAAAGGTTTTTCAGTCATTCTTTTCAGTTACCTCACTAAATGCATTGTAGTGAACAAATTAAAACTGTTATAACATTTGAAGAAGAATTATAAAGTTGAACTGTAAACTGTTAAAATGCTAGATTATAAAGCAGTGCAAACTACCATGACCGGTTTGTGGATATAACGTCAGCAGTTAAAGCAGTTATCAAAAAAAAAAAAAAAA